AAGATACTCAAATCTCCGCAAAATCCTCATCATTGTTTTCATTAACCTCTTATTCGATGAACAAAAAAGGATTGCATCATCCGTATAAGACAAATGAGTAATCTCTCTACTCCATTTTGGCATCACAAATCTCTTGAATTTTGAATCCTCATTTAGCTTGTTGCTAGTTGATACATACCTTTGCTTCTATAATGAACAAAGTGGGGGAGAGGGGATCACCTTGCTTCAATCCTAAGATGATTGAGAAAAACAAAAGACTAGCCATTAATTAACACGGAGTACTAGTAATTAGATATTAATCTCAACATGATATAAATAATCCTCTCATCAGAAAAAAGTCTTCTCATAACTTGAATAAGAAATATCCCTAACACCCTATATATGCTTCAATCATGTACAACTTCACCACAACATCATGATATTCATTCCTCTTGTTTATGTCTCTAATTATCTCTTGCCTTTGTAAAATATTTTCAACAATACTTCTTCCTTTCATAAACCCCTACTGATTCTTAGAGATAATATCAGGAAAACCCAAATTATTCTTTCATGCAATACCTTTGATAAATCTTATTAGTAAAAAAGCTCAAGCTTATAGGTCATAAATCTGAAAATTTAATGACCTTATCCGGAATTAGAACTACATTCGTGTGAGAAATATATTGGTATTTCACCACCACAGAAAATAACCATCACCATCAACCATATACCTTTCTTTATAATCTCCCACCATGTTTGAAAAATTCGTCTGAAAATCCATTTGCCCCACATGCGTTCTCTTTATTCAAGTTGAACACTGCTTCCTTAACTACCTCCTCTGTAGGCGCCCTTGTTATTTCGATATTCTATTTATAGTTATATTTCGGCTTGATTCTCATATCTTTGACCCTCTTTAGATTGTTCACTAACATTAATTGCTTCCTTTCCTATATTTAAAATGGTAAGTATCGTATCCCCTGCTCTGTCTGAATTTCGTTAATCATTGGTTTCCTCATTCCTTTCACAAAGAAATGAAAAAACCTCTTATTTCAATCTTTTTTAATTAATCATTGCATCCCATTCTTTTGTTTCTTGTAATCCTCTTCTAGTTGATGATATTTTCTTAGAGAATCTTCAGCTTTAGCTAAATTTTATTTATTTTCCATTGAAGGGTTCATTAGCAATATCCTCCATATCTTCAAAGATATATTCTCATATATTTTATTACTTCACTGCATATCACATACACTATTGTTATGATAATGTCCAACTTCAAGAAGTCTTTTGCTCCAACTTCCATCTTTTTTCATCATTAAATGCTTGATTGCCTGACTTCTTTAACTCCAAGTCTAAAAATTCAAAAATTTCAAGTTAGTTTAGTTAATTAAATTATAAGAATGACACTTAAAACTCAAGAAAAAATGTAAATAATATGTCGGTAATTTGTCAACTTATCACTTATACGAGGCTTATGACATTGACGAAAGAGAAAAGGCTCTCACATGAAGCTCCTCTTTAGAAGATAGGGGTTGTTCAAGTAACTCTTTCCCAACTTCAAGAAGTCCTTTGTTGCATTCCTCCTCAAAACAAAAACATGAGCTAGGAAATCATTTTATTTTTTCATAGCACACAAAGAACAAGAAGAGCACTACAATTTTGAAACCAGGTTTAAAGTCTCAAAAACCTAAAAGAAATCACCAAAGAGTAAAGGGAAAAATTGAAGTGCAGATAGATCAAACAGGTGACATCAGATACTAGTTTCTAAAGAAAAAGTAAGCTCGAAAGAAAAAAGATGGGTTAGATGAAAAATGGAGCGGATACATCACAAGCAACACATATCTGTCAATGAGTGAGTAGGACTATTTGATAGATCTGCACTGCCTATGGTGTATGCTCCCCATTTTCATATAACCCCTCATTTTCTCTCCGTCTCTCTTACTTGTTCTCTGTAAACTACAATCTGGCGTTACCTTTTAGGTCTTTCTACACTTCAATTTTTTCCTTCTCTAGTGATTTCTTTTGGGTTTTTGAGAATTAAAACCTGGTTTCAAAATTGCGGTGCTCTTCTTGTTCTTTGTCTGTTGTGAAAAAAAAGAAATGATTTCCCTGACACGTGCTTCTGTTTCTGAGTACAAATGCAATAAAAGACTTCTTGAAGTTGGCAAATAGCTATTTCAGCATCCCCCCATCTTCTAAAGAGGAGCTTCTGGAGAAACTTGTTGTGAGAGCCTTTTCTTTTTCTTTCCTCATTGTCATAAGCCTTGTATAAGACGTGAGTTGAAAAAATTACTAACATATGAATTACCTTTTTTCTTAAGTTTTAAGTGTCTTTGAGTATAATTTATTAACCTAAACTAACTTAAATTGG